AAAAAAAAGTCCACCTCCCAAGCAAAGCCTCACCGTCCGACCATCACAACCACCGTCGAAGAATAGTATTTTGAGTGGTCATATGGTGCCAGTAATAAAATTCATTGAACATCATTGAACAATGGAAATCAAAGAAATATATATCTCCAGATAATTAAATCACAGATCGATGATAAAAAAATAGATCTAAATAATAAGAACTAGAAGATCTAAATAGATCATAATCAGACGAACTAGAAAGATAAAAAGCAAGAAGGATGAACACCATCAACAAAGCAAGAAGAATCTGAAGATTGCCATCGCATTCTCCTCCGGCATTGCCAGTGATCAAAAGAAGATGGAGCAGACAAAGGAAAAACAGAGAAGACAAAGAAGGTCAGAAGTCTAAGGGCGGTCCTCCGTCGCCGATCTGAAGAGGAAGAAGGAGAAGCCACAAGGTTCGCCGTCCTCCATCGGTGCCGTCCGTCGTCCCCCTTCGCCATTACAGCTCTGAGGAGAGAGAAGGAGAAGAAAAAGAAGGTCCGCCGTCCTCCATTGCAGATCTGAAGTCGAAGCTCCACCCGCCGTCCTCCGTCACCTGCACCGCTTATCGATCGATGAGCCGGGAATGCTCAGCGTTTGGGTGGTGATGTCCCAGTCCCTCTCTCTCTCTCCCCCTTTTTTTTTTTTTTAAAAATTAATTAATTTTATTTTTTTGGAATAATTAATCACAGCTCCTTATAATTTCAACTAATTTTGAATCAGGTCCTTATACTTTTACCTGTTCTTAATTAGGTTCTTGTATTTATTTTTTTTTTATCAAGTACTTATAAGTTCACCTTATTTTTAATTAAATCCCTGAATTTTTATTCTTTTTTATACATTCTAATAGTACTATTGTATAAACATAAAATAGTATATATTATTTAATATTAGTTTATAAACAATAATATTCTAAAGATATTGAATTATTATAATGATTTTAATTTTTTTAGCAAAAAAATTAATTGTTTTAAAAAAATTTCCTGAATTAATTAATTCTATTACTTTTTTATTACATAATTATAATTTAATTTAATTATTAATATTTTATGTTTCAGTATTAATCTATTTAATTAAGCTTATATTTAATTAATAAATAAAAATTAAAACTACATAGACCTGATTAAAAATTTAGTGAAATTATAAAGACTTAATTAAAAGAAAAATAAATACAAGGATCTAATTAAAAAAAGGTAAAAGTATAAGGACCTGATAAAAAAAAAATTATAGAGACCTGATTCAAAATTCGTTAAAACTATAAAGACTTACGGATTAATTAACCCTATTTTTTTTATTTGGATTAACTTGTATTTAGCATTCTAGAATATTTTTCAGTAATATTCACTATCCTAAATTAATTAATTCTTAATATATTTAGAGTATTTTTTTAGTTAGTGAGTATTACTAAAAAAATACTTTAAATTGTTAGATGTACTACAAATTAATTTATAATACTAGCTATTATAAGAAAAATATTTCAAAATGTTGGGTATGGTAAAAATTAATTAATTTGGGATATTGAGTATTATTAAAAAATACTTCAAGATATTAAATATACTAAAAATTAATTAATTTAGAATACACGATAAAAATAATTAATTTATGATACTAGATGTAACTAAAAAATAAGTTAAAATGTTAAATACATTAAAAATTAATTAATTAAGATATTAGATGTTACTGAAAAATGTTCTAAGATGTTGGAGATATTAAAAATTAATCTAAATAAAACAAAACAAAAAATCTTTTTTTCAAAAGGAGGGTCTCATCCTCCAAATGCTGTGGTTTGGGGGATGAGCATGCCTGCTTAGGTATGCGTTCAGCAGGGTGTGCGGCGCCGTTCCACCATTTTTTATGGAACTGGCAATTCCAGAGAACTGTCCTAAAGCGCACCAAACGGACATATTTTGAGTTCCATATCCGCTTCTCCTCTCTCATTCCATGCTACCAAACGGGGCATAATATTTGGATCCTCGTGTTTTCTTAATGTCATTAATTCATGGGGAAGCGTGACAGTGATTATGCACGTACTCTTTTTTTATTTTTTATGAACATTATATGAAAACAGTTTGTGTTATTTAAATAAATCTAATTTTATTTCCTCATTTTCAAATATGGTGTTGGTATTAACTTAATACCCTTTCTTCTGGCCAAACAAAAAATTAATACGCTTTTTTGTTACTCTTAAAAAACATATATACTTGAGTAATGTCATTAGGTAATAGTTTGGTACATTCGTATTTATAATGTACGATGACACAAACATCAGATTGCATATACAATGTGGTTAATTGTGTTGCCGATTAACATCGATTAATTATTAAACTATTTTCCATTTTAAAAATGTAATTAACTTTTTTTTTTTAGGGAGCCAAGAACGGACTGGATCCTACAACATGAATTAATCCAACTCAAGTTATATTCGCAAGATTATTAAGCTTTGCATCTGTCTAAATATTTTGAAATATAATCCATCTAAAATAACTAAAGAATAGAAAGAAAAAAATAAATATAATGAACTGTAATCTGGGAGATTTACAACAGCAAAAGCAAAACTTAGCACACTCCCTTCCTCTTTGTCTCCTATTCTAGTTAAAATGTTAAAATTACTACTCCAAGACCCGCGAGGAACCTCTCCATTGCATGCCCTTTCCATTCCGCCTCCATTTAATTGAAACGGCAACGTTTGCTTATTTTAAAAGAAGAATTTGCAGCTTTCTTTTTCAGTCCCGTTTTGTGTCCATCCCAAATTTGGCAAACTGAAATTTTGAGTTAGCAAATAGAGAGAGAAAGTTAGAGAGAGAAGGTTTGAAAATTTTCCATGCTACCACAAGAGAACACTCCTCGGAAACAACCGCCTGATCGTCCTATGGACGCTCATGAGGATGAAAACCAAGGGAAAGAAAGAGAACTGAGAACAATAGAGGAAGCGACAGAGAGGGTCGTAAAGGAACCAATGGTCTCGTGGGGCAGTGAACAAACAAAAGAGAAAGAGGATGAAACAAGAGGAAAAATGCCTAGAAAGCTGGGAGAGTTTACAGGAGAAGTATCGCTGCTACAAAGAGAGGAAAACTAGATGTTACCAAAAACAGCCGAGGCCACTTAGAAACAAAATGAGGCACTGTCATACAGGGATGCTCTGAAGCCCAAGCAAGACAGAGAGAGGAAACAAGCTGAAGAGGACTGGGATGGTAATCTGATGATGAATCCGGACAATGAATTAAAAGAAGGGATAACCGTGACTGACATAGAATGAGGGCCTAAGATTGAATTCTCAAAAAAGGAAAGAAGGAGAATGGAGAAAAAATGGCAAAACACACTCATTATAAAGCTTCTTGGAGGTACAATAGGATTCATGCAGCTCAGGCGCATAGTGCAGGCAATGTGGGGAAAGTCTGATGATGTTGAACTATCAGGTATTGGAAATGGATACATGCACGCCACCTTCAAAGAATTAGACGACTACTATTTTGCACTAGAAGGAGGGCCCTGGTTGGTAAGAAATCACTACCTAATGGTACAAACCTGGAAATGAAATTTCAACCCGTGGAACGAAACAATCAATAATGTAACAGTGTGGGTGCACCTGCCAAGTCTACCAGGGGACTATTATAATAAAAAGTTTTTCTATCACTTGGGAAAATAGATCAGAAGAGCTATTAAGGTTGATGAAATGACGTTGACCAGAGCAAGGACGATGTTTGCAAGGTTATGTGTTGAAGTGGATTTGAATGCACCATTACTCCCAGCTTACTCAGTAGATGGAAATGAGCTGAAAATCAAGTATGAGGGACTACACTCCATCTACTTCAGTTGTGGCAGGTTTGGGCATAGCTCAGAACATTGTCTGATAAAGGTAAAGGAAAAAGAAACACAAGAGCAAGCAAGTACGGCAGCAAAGAGGGTAGAAGAGAGGGCGGCCGGAAAAACAGGGGGACCCGGAGAAATATTTGGAGGATGGATGGTAGCACAAAAACCAAGAAGAGGATGGAATACCATCAATCGAGAGAGTAGACAAGGAGAGGGTCAGAAAAAGAGCTACCCTACTAAGGCAAAAGTAGGACAGACCTCATGATTTGACGTTCTAATGGCAGAGGGGGATAGTATATAAGGGGCAGTAGAGGAGGAAAGGGAGAGAAGACCTTTGGAGGATGTGTCAAATATAGAGAACCGAAGAGAGGGAAGAGAAAATGAAAGGGGAAAAAAGAAATGAGGAAAACAAGAAGGAAAGCAAAGTTTAAAAAGTGGAAATGAAAGATCTAGGGAAAGTGCGCAAACTGAAAGAAGAAGTGACAAGGGGAAGCAAGGAAAGGTAGAGGAGAGCAAAATTCAACAGGTGGGGCCAAGTGGAGATAGCAAAAATGGGGGGGGAAGGAGAGCAAAGAAAAGGAGAACATAATAAAGAGCAAGAAAGAGAACTTGAGTGGGCCGAGAAGTTAAAAAAGTGACACAACAGAAACAGGAGAAGAATTGGGCGGGGAATTGGTAAACACTAGTAGGCATGGGCCAGATACGGCAAATGGGCCAAGGATGGATGACTCGATCATGGAGCACTTCCTAGACAGCCTACCAGACCACGTGAATGCTATAATGGAGCTAGATGAGGCTAAACCCCCAGACCCAAATGAGGAAGACGGTGCTTTAGGCCTTTTAGATGTGGAACGCTCCATTAGAGCCCAAGAGGAGAAGCAATTAAAGTGGCAGGAAGAAGAAAGGCCCCATGAGGTGGATGTGGAAATGACTGGCACTTCACAGTAGTGCTAAGGTGTGCAGTGCCTTCTCAATCTTGTTTAATGATTATTACGTGGAATGTACGAGGGGCAGCAGGAAAAGATTTTGTGTTGGCCTTCAAAGAACTAAGGAAAAAATTCAAACCGAGAATTGTGGTTTCATTAGAGACCAGGTGCAGAGGAGATAAGATGCAAAAAGTAATAAAAAAACTGGGATATAAAAACCAGATAATAAGGGAGGCAAACGGGATGTTAGGGGGAATATGGATACTATGGGATGAAGACAACATCAAAATTCATGCCATAGAAATGCAGAAACAGTACATACATTGTGAAGTGGAGGGAGTTGGAGCTAGAAAGTGGATGTTTACAGCAATCTATGCAAGCCCCAGGGAAAGAGAAAGAAAGGACCTCTGGGAGAATTTGAAAGAGATAGCAAAAAGAATTACAAGACCCTGGATGTTGGCGGGAGATTACAATGATATAAGAGACAGTGATGAACAAACAGGGGGAGGACAGGAGAACTATGCCAAGTGGAGAAGATTCAGTGAAAACATAGAAGAATGTCTCCTACTAGAAGTCAGCACAGAGGGGCCTAAGTACACTTGGAAAGGCCCTGTCATTGGACATGCAAGGAGACTATATAAGAAACTAGACAGAGTACTATGCCATGCGGATTGGAGAAACATCTTTTGTGAAGCACAAGTACAAATTGGGCCTAGACTCCAGTCGAATCATCATCCTTTGGTGATACACATCACACACCCAACAATGCAGCAGAAATGTCAGGCCCTTTCGCTTTGAGGCCATCTGGCTTCAACATGCAAACTTTAAACAAATGCTGAAAGAAAATTAGGAAGAAAGAGGGAACGTCATACGGGAATTAAGGAACCTAGAAGGAAAACTGCAGTAGTGGAACAAAAATGTCTTTGGGCACATAGGAAGACAAAAAAAAAGAGCTACTAAGGAGACTGAACGAAGTACAAAAACATATGCAGCATAATCCAAGCAAATACTTGGAGGAGCTGGATTACTACCTGAGGGATGAGCTCGCAGAAATTTTAGCAAAGGAAGAATTGTTTTGGTTCCAAAAGGCACGAACAAGATGGATGAAGGATGGAGATCGGAACACATCATATTATCATACCAAGGCAAATATTAGAAGAAGAGGAAACTAAGCACATATGCTGAAAAATCAACAAGGAGTATGGATAGAAGGAAAGGAGAAAACAGGAGAACTATTTAACTCCTTCCAACAATTATTTAAGGAGGAGGAGCAACAAAGAAGATGGATAAATATATAAATGCTTGGGCAAGACTGAATGAGGAAGAGATAAGAAGTCTGGAAGAAGCAATCACAGATGAAGATGTGAAAGAAGCAATGTTTGGAATTAGAAGCCTTAAATCTCCAGGAGAAGATGGATATCCAGCAATTTTTTTCCAAAAAAATTGGGAAGTGGTGAAAACCAGTGTTTGCTATGCGGTGAAAGAAATGTGGCAACAACCAATAAAGATTAAGGAACTAAATAGAACTCTCATCACGCTGATTCTGAAGGTGGAGGCACCCAAGAAAGTTAATCAATTCCGTCCAATCTCACTCTGTAATGTTGTGTATAAGTGCCTAATAAAGATTATTGTGAAGCAACTCAAGGGACTAATGCAAAAGCTGGTGTCACCCCACCAGGTAAGTTTTGTCCCAGGAAGAAACATTCATGATAATGTGATCATAATGAATGAAATGGTTCACTCGATGAGAAGGAAAAAAAGGGGAAAAAAGGCTATATGGCAATTAAAGTGGACCTAGAAAAAGCCTATGATAGGCTAAACTGAAAATTCTTGAGAAGGGTCATAAATGAAATTAACTGTCCAGGCACAATGATAGACAGAATTATGGAGTGTGTTACCACTCCCTCAACCTGTATACTTTGGCATGGTGAAAAGATGGAGGAATTCAATCCTTCAAGGGGACTCAGACAAGGAGACCCTCTCTCTCCCTACCTCTTTGTTCTCGGCATGGAAAAACTCACGCACCTTATCCTAGACAATTTAAGAGAGAAAAAATGGAGAGGAATGAGAGCAAGCTGAAAAGGCCCAATAATAACACATATGATGTTTGCTAACGATCTTATTCTTTTTGCAGAAGTGAGCACTGAACAGATAGATATTGTGATGAAATGCCTACAGGTTTTTGGATAGGTATCGGGACACAAAGTGAGCGAGGAGAAAACAAACATATACTTCTCAACAAATGTTCACAAGCAAATGAGAAGAGAAATATGTAGAAGAAGCAGCTTCAAGGAGGTGGAGGGTATAGGAAGATACTTGGGGGCAAACATTGTACACCCCAAAAGAAGAAAAGACAAATATAAAAACATTGTTAATGAGTGAGAAGAAGACTGAACGGATGGAAAGCTTCAAGCTTATCAATGGCGGGGAGGGGGGAGGGTAACACTGGTGAAAGCAGTCACTAATGCAATGCCACTATACCTGAGGCAACATGACAGATTACCACAAGGAATTATCAAGGAGATTGAAAAAGAACAGAGGAAGTTCATCTAGGGGGAACAAGAGGGATAACGGAAATGGCATGCCATTGCATAGGAAACTCTGTGTAAACATAAAGAAGAGGGAGAATTAAACATGCGCTCACTTAGAGGAATGAATGACTCGTTCCTGTTAAAACTGTTGTGGAGAATGCAAAATCAACAGAATGATTTGTGAGTGCAGGTGCTAAAAGGAAAGTATGGAAAAGAGGAAGAGTGTGAAAGAAGGCTCATAGCTAGACCAAGCGACTCAAGGCTCTGGAGAGAAATGGCAAAAATGGAGGAATGCTTGAGGGAGAACCTGGTGGTGGAAATTAGAAATGGAGAGGAGACGGTATGGCAAGACCGATGGATCCAGGATGAACAAGCGTTAGTAAAGAAGATACCTGCTGGAACTGCAATAGATGCAAAACTTAAGGTTAAGGAACTAGTAAATGAGACGGGGGGCCGAAGCCTGGGAAGCCTAGAGGCAATACTCCCGATGGAAATTATTCCAAAAATTCATGCCATGGCACCGCCAAAAGAAGAAAGGGGAAAAGACAGGATCATTTGGAAATGTAGCTCAACGAGACAATTTACCATGGCAAGTACTTATAAACACTTGCATGCACAAAACGAAGAAACAAAAAGAAGCTGTGGAAGACTATTTAGAGACTTAAAGTACTAGAAAGAATAAGACTATTCATGTGGTAAATGAATCATAAGAGACTACTCACCAAACAGTGAACAAGTAAATGGGATGGAGACCGAGGTGACTGCACATTCTGCAAGCAGAGCATAGAAACACAACTACACGCACTAAGAGACTACCCTTATGCCATAATAATTTGGAGAGGCATAATTCAAGCTGAAAAAAGAACAGAATTCTTTGGAAGCAATGAGGAGGAATGGATAGAACAGAACTTAAATGAACCATGGAATGCAGAAGAGGAGATACAATGGAGAGACCAGTCTGCGGTAGTCTGCTGGCACATATGGAGATGGAGGAACCGCCTGCTACACGATGAGAACTTCTAGATACCTTGGAATTTAAAAAACATTCTGGGGGGGTACCTGAAGCACTACAATGCAAAGAAACATTCAATAAGCGGTGGAAGTGGAAACAACAAGTTGATAGAGGTAAAGTGGGTACTACCTGCAAAGGGATGGTGTAAACTGAACATCGATGGAGCCCAACAACAGGACGGCAGAGTAGCCTGTGGCGGAGTAATTCGGGGAGACACGGGAGAATGGCTTCGAGGATTCTCCATAACGCTAGGCAGTTGCAGTGCATGAGAGGCGGAAGGATGGGGGATCTACAAAGGACTTAAACTATGCTGGGAGATGGGATTCAAGAAAATAGAGGTAGAAAGTGATGCAAAAGAAGTAGTGGACAAGATCATCAAATCCTCGGGGAAGGAAGTGCAAACTGTGCTGATAACAGAAATACAAGAACTCCTGAAAAGAGAATGGACGATAGAAATCAAGCATGTATTTCGAGAGGCAAATAGAGTGGCGGATCAATTAGCCAAATTGGGACTGATTCAGGAACAACAGAAAGCCGTGTGGAAGAACCCCCAATAGAAATGTTAGAAACCTTGCACTGGGATAGTACGGAGAGGGGAAGTATCAGTAGAGTTAGCCTATGTAATTTGTTTTCTCTTGTATTTACCAAAAAAAAAAGGCCAACTGATATCGAGTGATCATCTAAAAATCGCCCAGGACAAAGGTGATGAAACATGCAAGAGACAAGCAAAGATATAAAATAAAATGATTCTTTCTTTTTCCTGGTTAAACGATCATAAGAAACAACCTGCAAAAAAAACACAAAGGATTGCATACAAACTATAAAACAGAGGTATATAACAAATGAAGAGGCAACCAACAAACACAACTGGTGAACCAGTGAGCAACTTCTTCGATGATTTCTTCTCACACATGACTTGCTAAATTTTTTGGAGACAAAACCCAGAATTTCTTGCTCAGCTGCAAAAAAGGAGAGGTCGAAGCAAATTTGGGGTGGATGCTGACTGGTGAACGGGACTGGAAATGAAAGCTGCCATTTTTTCAAAAAAAAAACAAAAGAAAAAGGAAAAGCAAACGATGCCGTTTCAATTAAATGGAGGCGCAACGAAGAGGGCATGCAACAGAGAGGTTCCGCGCCGCTCTAGGACTGGGATGTCCTGAATCAACTTTAAGTTGTGACTAAGTCAATCAAAGTCCTAAAATTTTGTGTAGAGCTGCCACTAGGCTCAATAGCTTTCATGGCGGACTGTTTCAAAGACGTAACGTTGCTGCGCATCATCTTCCCCTTTTCACCTGTCAAGCTTGATTCCAAAACTCTGATAATCTCATTCTTAGTAATAACCCCATTGTCAACAGCCATGGCGACCCCCCATTCCCCCTCCAACATCAGAGTGTTCAACCTCTGATCTCCAAAAAACGGCCTGCAAATCATGGGCACACCACCTACAATGCTCTCCAAGATCGAATTCCAGCCACAATGCGTCATAAAAACACTAGTTGACGCATGTTTAAGGATGTCTAACTGAGGAGCCCAAGGAACAACAATCCCTTGTTCTCCTGTCCTTTTCAAGAATCCTTCTGGTAATTGTTTCTCAGGGCTGCCTCTAAATGACCATATATATGGAAACTTACCTTCTTCCAAGGCTTGTGCTAATGCAGATAGTTCATGGGGTGGGGGTAAGATGACACTTCCAAAGGCAATATATAGTACTGATGCAGTTTTTTGCTTGTCAAGCCACTGAAGGCAGCCATGTTTGTCTGGGATCACAGGTTATGGGGTGGTTAGAGCTAAGGGTCCTATGTTGAGTAACATTCTGAAGTTTGGTTTGAGCTCGTTCACAATGGGAGGGAGGATTGTGTCGTATGAGTTTATGGCTACTGTGGTTGCTTTTGGAAGCATTTGTCCTGCTTTGTGGATCATAACTGCAAAAGGTTCGTCTATTTCCCTCACAATTCCTTCTGGTAAGTCCCTGACCTTCACTGAAGAAAAGCACGGCAGGAAACTCAAGCTTTGTTCTGCACAGGCTTCACGTCATTGAAATCAAACAACGAGTCAATAATCGGAATCTAATCAAAATTATGAAGAAAATATTGAAGCAATGAAAATAAGACCCAGAACAAGAATGAGTGTTATTTACTGCACAGTTCAAATACTAATGGAATCAAAATAAGGATAACCAGTAATGAATTTCGTGTCTAGAATCCTCTTTCTTCAAGAAAGAAAAATTTCCACAGAATCAAAACTGTCGTGGAATTTATAGGATCGTAAGGTCGGTAACAATTAAATTCAGATCCGTAAACATTTTAATTTCACATTTGTGATGGATGCGAAAGAAAAGAGAATCTGGAGATGAGTTTGAAAATTTCGGTTACCATCATCATCGCAAGGAAATTTTTCACGAAGAAGGTCGGTGACGACGTGAGTTAACAGAGCATGAGGGCCAGCCATCCAAAGAGGGACCCACTTGGCATGCATTTGCTCTGCCATTTCTGCGCCGAACCAAAGAAACGCATCTGTGACGATGCACGTGATCTTCCTGCCTTTCTCCGTAACGGCCTGATCCATAGCTCGCCGGTAGTTCTCCGGCATGGCCCTGAGGAACAAATGAAGCGGCTCCAGGGGATGGCCGGAAGGGACATAACCCGCCGGTAAGCCATCGTGGACGTTATAAGGCTTTATGTTGGGAAACTTGAGGAATATGGAGGCACCAATATTGGCAATATTAGGGGCGGTGCAGAAGAATGAGAATATGACTTCAGGTGAATCAGATGCGATTCTTTGGATGACGTCCAGAAGAGGAATTGAATGCGTCCCGAATGGGAACGCCAAAACGGCCACGTGCCGGATTTCCGAGGCAGCTTTCATGGCGGTGAGGTTTCAGAACTCAGATGTTAATGTGTTTTCTTTTGATGGAAAACAAATGCTAAAGATTTTCTCGTGGCCTGTGAATATTTGAGCTTTTAACGCAGAGAACCGAGAATAGGCATAGCCAAAAGACTGAAACAACTGGTGGCGGAGGACGAGGATGACAAGAACCAAACCCATGCATTTTGAATCGTTGGATTAATGTCTCAACAAAAAAAAGGATCACATTTGTGTTAATATGTGTATTTGGAGAGCCATTAATTTTAGTTAAAAACACATTCTGATATAAAAGAAATGTGAAAGTAATTTTATCTTAAAAATTATAAAAACCCACTGAAGGATTTATATAAATTCTCAACACGGGATAAATCACATTTGAAAAGAGCTGCTTTCCTTCCGTTTTTGGTCTTAACTTTACCACAGGCTCACTCTAACCACACAATTCTTATTTCTTACACCACCCGGATCGCTTCCACAAATATGTCCTTTTTATGCTAATATTTATCTGAAAATTACAAGAATAACAATAATTTAAATATAATTGCTATATCTTTACTATTTAGTAAAATTATATGTTACTCAATCGCGTGATATGAAATTATGAGCAAGTTTATATCTACTTTAGGAGTACATACTTGTTATAATTCTAACAAAAAAATTGTATATTATATGTATATATGAAAGATATTTATCTTGTATAAAAATATATATATTTCTCTCTGAAAAATAAGTAAGAAGAAATAAATAAGTTATATTCCAGATTTTGACCCAAAATTCATCTCATTTAGTCAAAACCCTTCAACTTCGCTTGGCCAAGAAATTTGTCAAGAGGGCATTCTTACACCCTACAAAGTGAGTGTATAAAATCTTTTTTCCCCATCGTTTGGATTATTAATGGCAGAGAAGACCATTTGAGGCCCTGATAAGAAGAGTATATCAGACAATATAGAGTTCTATAAAAAGGAACAAAGAAAGACCAAGAAGACCGTTCAATAAAGTCATTGAACGAGACTTCTTGGTCAACAATATATCTAAGAACTTGATTGTTAATAGAGCACAGTGGAATCATGCGATTCATGTAACCAACCTCACCTAGTGGGATAAGGCTTGTTGTTGCTGTTTGGATTACTAATGTAAAATTGATTTTGAGTTATGTAAAGTGAATATGCAAGAGGAATTTTATTTCTTAAAATGAAACAATGCTTTTTTGTTTTTTAAGTTAATCCAAACAACTCATGCCGAAAGGGTTTTAAATTTGTATAACTAAACTGATAAGTAACGATGACTTGAGAAGTGTTCGAACTTCCTAAAGCCCTGGTTTTCAACAAAGATGGGTCATCATCCTATTATTATTATTATTATTATTATTATTATTATTATTATAACAAGGCAAGGTAAGCTTGAACGTAAAACAAAACCAAGTTACATCTAGTCAAAGCCCTCCAAAGTGGCCTCCAAAAGATCCTGCGCAACTTGCACCACGCTCAGAAGATATTTTAACTATCTACTTGGTCCCTGAGCTGACTAAGCAAGATGATCTGCACATTTTAGTGCTTCCCTGCATGTATGACATAACTAAACATCCCACGTGGAATAGATGAGCAACCTGGTTTTATATATTTCACTGCTTAATGGGTGTCCATCTCTACTATCTATCAGTAATAATTGGATAGCTTCCAGAGAGTCTGAAAACAACTGAACCCGTGGAAAGTTTATTTCCTTACACATTTTCAGACCCTGTTGATAGCTATAAGTTCCACTGCAGTGGATGAGGCATAGCCTAGGTCTTGTTGAAATCCCCTAAGCCAATTCCCTCGGTCATCTCTCACAACTCCTCCACAAGTAGCATTGTTTTGACAAAAAACTGAGCCATCGACATCCACACGAACATAACCAACCCAAGGTAGTTTCCACTTGACCATCTCTCTATCTTCCTCCTACAAAATCTTACGCTTGAATCTACCCTCTTCAACTCCCTCTCTCAGCTGATATAAGCAGTGGTGAATCAAATTTGGTGGTGGCTTGCAAGTCCCCTCAAAGCTCATTTTACACCTGTTCTTCCAGATCATCCAGCATAGACTACCAAAAACTTTGACCCAGCAGCATCTTTTAACCATTCTCGCACCTGGGGAGTTAGTGACATTCCACCTCAACCATTCTGATCTGGTGGTTTATCTTTATCATTAAAGCTTCCTCCTACTTGTTCCTTGAATTCACTCCCTATCGCGTTTGCTTCATTCAATCCGCCCTGCATACTAGAGATCGGCTCCTTCCCACGATTTTTCCCTTGATCCTGCTTCAATAAAGCTGCATTGGGATCCGTAGTTGTCTGGCTCATGTTGCTTGGAGCAATAACCAGAGAGGAAGGTCCAATTGACTCCTCACAATTCTCTCTCTCATTTGGGTCTCCGTTGCTCATGGTCAATGTGGGCTCTGATGATTGAACTTCTCCAACCACAACATAGTGTTGTCTATTACTACAGTTACTTGGCCCATATTCTCTACGCAGTTTGACACTGACGCTTTCCCATTTGGATGGGCTTTGTCTGATAAGCCATGTCTTTGGGTCTCTGAGTTCGTGGGCTTAATATTCACCTTACCTGGTCCCGTAACTTGAACCCTAGCCTTCTGTCCCTTTCTAATTTTAAGACCTCTTCTTGTATAGTGCGTTGTCACTTTCGTACTCTGACCTTGCTTCCCCCCCCCCTCATAGACAACTATCGCTTTTTCTCCCACTAGAGCTACCTCGGTCACATCTGTCTCAGTGGTCAGACGCTCATTTGTCTCCTCCCAACTCTACTATTACATCAAACTTAGATAAAAAAGGATGAGGAACACCTTTCTTCTTTATCTTCCCCCCATACCCATTCTTAGCAAACCTGTCTCTATGTTCAGGCCTAGAGCCACACGGAGTTGGCCCTTCGACAAACATCCGTAGGCCAAATTTGTCGTCCTCCACCTTAGGAAGATTTTTCAATGAGTTACTTGGCGGCTGGGATTTTGGTGTGGAGCCCATATCGGACGATTTTGCTGCCCCAGGGCTGACTTTCCATGGACAAGCTTCCTTTTGGTGACCATATCTCCCACAAGAGACGCAAATAAGCCCTAGCCCTTCATATTCTACATTATACAGTGCTGATGTGCAGATGACCCTTGGTACCAATTTTCTCTGTAGATCAATCTCCACACAAATCCTAGCAAACCTTCCTCTCTAAACTTTTGCTCTGTTAGCTTCAATGTCTGCTATAGTATTCATGTCGACTTAATGGTCTTCCTAATCATATCACCCAATCTCCAAATGCACTTCATTGGAGTAGCGGTGCAGAGGTATATTTGGAATCTAACCCATGTCGCTATACGACCAAGGAGATTATGAAACGGATCAAAATATGGAGACCACCTTTGCACTAGCACACTATGTTGAGCAACAACCCAAGGACCTTCAAAAAGCACACGCTTATATTTTTTTTCCCCATGTTTCATCCATTTTAAAATGAACAACATAATAGTTGTTTGGCACATCGATAAGTTCAAAATCACCCTCACAAGAGCTCCAGATACGACATAACAGTTCTTTCAACTTATAAACATTAAAGCGAGCTCCCAAAATTGTAATAATTAAAGCATTGTTCTAGGGCTCATAGCATTCATTGAATTGGTCCTTTGTGCAAGGCACAACCGGGTAGATATTCATTAACTTCTTAATATCCTCAGAGGGTTCTGAAATATTCCACATCTGGTCAAGTAAATCAGTAAGTAGTGGGTCTTCTTCCATAGCAGGATCCCCTAACGCTACCCCATTAAAATCTTGCCTTTTGCCCCCAGAAGGGAATCTTTGTAGGAAGGTGGATGGCTAGTACCCTTACTCGTTGCATTAGAGGTCGAAGAAACCTCATGAGCATGACATCCCTTAGCATCTTCCATCTTGCCTGACATAATAGTATCCTCCTTTAACTCCTTTTTGGATTTCTTAACGTTGACTATTGGCATCCCCTCTTCTAGGAATCCATCAGGCGGAACTTTCCGGCAGCAATGTTCACCCACAGCCACAGGAGCAGAAATCAAGCAGCACAATTTCCAAGAGAAAGAAACTCAAGCAGAGAGCGTTGCCGTTTTTATCAATATACTATGAACAGTAAAAAAATTATCTAATTTACCCGTATACTATGGAAAGTCATTCACGGCTTTGAACGAGTTCAGGCTCTGCCATTTCCATATTCAGCCAGAACTAATGCTAGTGCCCCAACGTCATCAGCATTTGCCCCTTCCATATTCCTTCTGGGTTTCAGAAAAGTTATAATTAATTACCCCATCCTTTCATAACTTCCTCATCAAATTTTCCTCTCTTTTATATCTCCACCCAATTCCCAAAAAGAAGACATCCAAATAGATTTTGCAAGAATACTACTTGTTATCCCAATAATTAAATTTATAAAAAGTAAATTAAATAAATATAAAATATTTATATATGTGATCTATTATATCCAAAATTTACATATATTCAGTTATAAAATATGCGCTTATCAACTTTTATCTTTATTATAATTACTCAGTAATATTAAAATCAAGAGTATTATTAAGATATTTTATAACTAATTAACTATTATTTTCCCAGAACTAGGATGGCATGTGGACGCGGCAGAGGCTAATGAAGCTAAAAACGGAAATAGGAGAGCCGAGAGCCTGAACTCTTTCAAAGCCTGAACGAGTTTCTTTTTTGTTTTTTTTTTTAATTAAAAAAATAGGTGTTAGTACGACAGGTGTTCAGGCCGACTTTCTAAAGAATATTAAAAGAACTACTCATTGAGTTATTGTTTTAAAATATTTATATTTATAGTTTTTTTTAAAGTAATTTGTCTCACTTATAAATTAGTATAAAATATAATGATACACATAAATATTTTAGATAGATCATATAATATATATTATAATTAAATAATTTAGTAACTCTTTCTTAATTTTTCAAATTAATCATATGGGTTGAATATTAAGGATCATAG